AGGGTTTAATGTCACTTTAATGGCGGTTGCCCTTTACTTAACCAGCAGAAAACAATTAGCCAGAAACGCAATTAAAAACATATTGACACGATTGAGCCAATCTGCTGTAATAAACACAGTACTTGGCACAGCAGGTGTCAGAGTGTGACTGGACCCATCTACCTACCAAGCCTATAGCCACAGAACATTTAAGGTTCGTTCCGGCCCAATTCTGACCGGAACGCACTGCATAGCATTGCGGCCGGCTTACTTTTTTGAGGGGCAGGAGGGGGCATGCCGAGCCATTGAAGTGAATGGCACCGTAGCCACACCCTCCGGTCGCAATGCGATCGCCCGCACTGGATTGCACGGCACATTGTGCCTGCGGTCCGGTGTGATCAAAATAGTGCTTGCAGCATTTTGATTGCCCGCAGACACAATGTGCCTTGCGATCCCGTGTAGCCGATCACATTGCAGCCGGAGGGTGTGGCTACGTTGACATTCACTTCAATGGCCCGCCACGCCCCACAAAAAAGTGAGCCGGCCGCAATGCGATGCAATGCGTTCCGGCCAGAATCGGACCAGAGCGCACTGCATCTGGTGTGAACCTAGCCTCAAACATGATGGGGCCTTCAGGAAAGGTTTCCCTACCTATATCAACTATATAAAGTCAGCCCTAAGGAGAGTAGGGTAAGAACAAGTAAATACGGAACAGTGGTCAATCATGCCAAAATATGCGGGTTATGCTGTTGCTTGAGGTGCTGTCATTATGCCTCCCAGGAAACTCCCAAAGCCTATTTTTTTTGCCTGGGCATACCAGACTGTCAAATGACATTGGAAGGATAATGATAGGAAGAGAAGGTGAAAGGGTGTAAAGAAACAACCACAGATGTAAAGGACATGATGGAAGAAGTGCTTTCATCAGCTATACGATAGGCTAATCAGCAAGAAGGTAGCATTTCACAAGCTTAAAGTCACATGTGTTTCACCCTTGGATAAACAGCAGCTACTCCCACGAAATGACAAGGAAGAAGAGATTGCATTTCAGGGTCACACATTTTCCCACACAATTCACCAGCTGCAGTATAGAACATTCCTTAATTAATAAATACTACCCATACAAGAGGAGTACATGTCCTCCACAATGACTGAAAAGCTGCACAGAATTGTACAAAAGCGTTACTGTGTCGGATACAGGGCCCAGCTACAATAAAGCGCAATAGAAAAAATACAAACAACCAGAAGTACAAGTACAAAAGGCACCAAGACACAGACCAGGTTCAGACATGCCATTAGCCAGGAGTCATGAAATAAAAACAAATGTCACACAAAGGGCACTGGCATGCATCTCCAAGCAAAACAAGAGATGTTCAAAGTACAAAATTTACATAATATCGTGGGCTAATTTACACACGACAAAATCACTGAAGTAGTTTTGGGAAAAATAATTTTGTTTCTGCATAAAAAGCTGTAAGGAATGGAGGAATCTCACAAACTGGACATGGCCAAGCTCAAGGACGTATAGTCTGCAGACTAAAGGTTTTCAGTAGGGATACACCGATATAACGGCCGCCGAAACATATCGGCCGAAAATGGCACTTGTCTAAATGCCGAAAGTGCAATTTTTGTCCCGATACATTGGCGCATCCCTGCTTTCTTTCCTCTCCGCTGGGCGCTGCTCAGTGTCCCAGCAGGGAGGAGAGAAAGTGTGACAGCCGGCCGAGCGCTGCGGGAGGAGAGCACTGTGAGCGGCCGGTGTCTTTCCTCCTACAGCCCGGCAGAGCGGTGTGTGGGCGGAGACAGCCGTGCTGTCACAGGAGGCTGAGCTCTCCTCCCTAAACTGCTCGATCAGCCTACCACCTCTAGTTTTCAATGTTGAATCCAACACACCCCCCCCCTATGGTCACCTGCTGTGAACAACAGGAGGTAGTAAAGGGTCAGCAATCCTATATAACAGGGCTTGACAAATTCTTTGAATCCAGGAGCCAGCTAGAAAAAAAGTTAAGAGCCAGGTTTTTTTTTGCAAAAGGGTGTATTGTGGTGGACAGGGGACTTTAAATAAAGTTAAATAAAATTAAAAATACCAAGAAAAGGAAAAGTAAACTTTTCTTTTTTTTTTAACTCATTGGAAATTACAGGTTCTCTTTAACAAATTCCTGCCCAGAGCAATTTCTTAAGGTGCCCATACACCTTACGACTATCGGACAAAAAAAAACTTTTCGTCCGATGATCGAATAGTCGTAAGATTTTCGTACGGCAGCCCCATCCTGCCCCGATGATCGCAAGATTAATTTAGCCGTAATTAACGAAAAAGCACTTGGACGAAATGCGGTCATTGATTTGCCGTATTTTCGTTAGCGCAGTGTAGATCGTACGACTTTTGACTGACGGAAACGCCAGCAACCTTGCGAAAATCGTACGATCTAGCAAAGTTTTCAAACCTGCTTGACCGTCAAAAGCTGTACGATTGTACAGTACTGTCGGGCGGACACTGCAATGCACACATACGATTATCAGCCGAAAAGTCGGTCGCATACGAAAATTGTCCGATAATCGTAAGGTGTATGGGCACCTTTACATTTGTACACCCGGGATAAAAATCAGAATTTGGGGCTAGAAAACAGCTTCAGACCCCCCAAACAATTATATATTTTCTGAAAGCAGAGGCCCTGTAGAAAATAAAGCTGCCAGTTGCAATTTTTTTTATGTTGCACGGTATTTGCGCAAATGGTTTATAAAACCAGTATTTTAAAGGATAAAATACACTAAAATGAAATTTAGTGCACAGAAACAGAATATAATACCTGACTTTTTGTTAAAATATAAGAGATGGGGGTCATGCTGGGTAAATAAATGGCAAACATATCAAGCCTTAAAATTGTGTGCGTCCGTGAAACCACAAAAAACTACAATACCCAAAATGTCCAATAGACAACGCGTTGCAAGCTTTTACTGCTCATCAGTTTAGTGTTACCAGTGATTTATGGCCCTAGAATTTTTGCTCTCACTCAAAACATTTGCGATGATATGCAACGTTAGTTTTTGCACGTAGGGGCACCTGAGGTGTGTTCGAGTGATGTGCGTACATGTGGGGGGCAGGAGAATGTATTTAAGTTTTTTTTTGTTACTTTCTTTATTTGTTTTTACACAACTTTATAGCTATCACATAGGGGAATAAGAATCCCGCTATGTAATAGCAAATCTAATGAGACCGGTCCTCTATATGGTTGTAAAGAGTATCAACACCCCTCCGAAGATCCTAATGGAATGTTCATTTTATTGAACAATTTGTCAAATGGAAACAATCGCTTTCAGGACCTCGCAGGGTCCCTTCATCAGGCTTTGACATCGACGTCAAAGCCCGATGAACAGACTTTGCGAGGTCCCAAAAGCGCTTGTTTTCCTTTGATACATTGTTCAATAAAATGAACATTTGGTGATTCCATAAGGATCTTCGGAGTGCCGGTGATATTCTTTACAACAATTCTATTCATACAGCGGTGCCATCTGCAATCATTTCGAGCACCCTCCCCATCATCTGGGATCTCCGGTAAGGAGTGCAACAAGAACCTTGACATTTTCCTGAGGTTTTATTTGATGGAGACATCAGGGTCCATTCAGACCCCTAATGTCACCTAGGGACCCCAAAGAAGCTGAGGAAGCAAAGATCTGCTTCCCCAGCTTATCCTGTAGCCAGGGACACATCACTTCGGTCAGGTGATCGGAGAAGATATCAGTGGTTGGAAGCCTCCTGATCAGTGAGGGGAGACCAGCCATGCCGGTCCTGCACGGGGGACAGCAGAACACAGGGAAGCCGGCGGCGGAGGGCACACAGCACCGTACAAGCGATCAGACGGCTGTACAGTCAGATGACTTGTATTTAAACAGGAATCGCCCACCGTTTAAAATGATCTCAAGAACACAGCTGCAGCAGTATAAACGCTTGACAGGATGTTTCAGGGCAGTCCTGAAGCGGTTAAGGTACCAAGGAACTGTACCTCCGTTTCTTCTCCCACTAGGTGCCAGGATGCAATTACTAGTCGCATTGGTGACCTGGCACCTAGGATTTGTCAGGCTCTGCTATATACCATCTATGTGGTCCCACCTGGATGATTTAGAGAACAGATGATACAGAACAGACATACCATGAGGCTGATGTTTTGGCTATTCTGGCGACAGGGCAAAATGATCTACAGACGACATGGCAGGGGATTTTAAATACACTCAATAGTTTGACTGAAGCCACTATATTTACTTGCCGACAGGGATTGTTCACTCAAACTTCTCGTCCTTAGGGTTGTAGGGCAGCTGGACCGCGCTGAAAGCAGCTCTGTCTAGCATCCTGCCCAGCTCGCTGACATCAGTGGTTTCCAGGAGGTCGGCGGGACACAAGCCAGGCCATCCCACTCATCTCTAAGCAACTGGCGATGTCGGCAAGCTCGGCGGGATGCCACACAGAGCTTCCCAGGTTGCCAAGAGCCTTTGCAGCCTGGGACCCTGCAGCCAACCAAGCAAACCACCACATCCCCCCCCCAAAAAAAAATACAAATCTGCCCCCCACCCCATGAGATGCCGGGATGGTTACAGATATGCGTTTCTATTGTATCCCTGATGAAATGGGAGTATTGTTGCCCCCAAAATGCATTGGCTGTTTTTTCTTAATTTATAAACAATTAAAAGGCACGTTTGGACTCTTTCACCATTTACTTGCTAGTGAGATTACTTGAATACCTTTCTACATCTGCACAATTTGATTGAGCACAGTAATCCCAAGTGCCTCTTAAATGCATTCCTTTGGTATACACAAATATCCAGAAATTGTAACAAAGCACTGTATAAGAATCTAAAAATCTTAATCACACAAATGAATCTGTTGCTCAGTTCATCAGATTAGGACTTGCATATACATTTTATGAAGCATTAAATCTGGGTCTTAAATCTACACTACACAATCTACAACAGAGCGGTGTAACCATAAAAAAAAAAACAATTATGTTTCACATGAAAAACAAAAGACTTACTTTCTAAGGATGATCTCTGAGGCACCCTTACTGAACATTCGATAACTACCATCATTGTTTTTCAATACTGTGCTCATGGACTTTCTCCCAGAATTAAAAGTGTACACTTTAAAAAGGGTTTCCTCAGGGATCTCATTCCGTACATCTTGATAGTCACGTTTTAGATCCAAAAGAAATCCCAGCAAGGCACATTCAGTTTTATTACCAACATGGCGTGGTAGGCCACCTTCTTTTTCAGGAGGCTGAGAAAAAGAAAAAAAAAAAGTCACACAAAGCGGAAATGACCATCACAAATTAATCAAAACAAAAACAATTGTCTAAAACATTCTTAGCATCATTTAAACCATTTGCCTGCTTCAGTACAGGCTTCTGCAGCTTCCAAGTGTACATTAAAAATGCATAAGGCAGTTTGTTCTAAATAAGTCTGTAGTAGGCTTTGAAGTAAAGAGTCTGGCGAGTAATGTAAGTGATCCTTTGTTTTAGGGAAAATATAAGTTTGCCAACTGCTTTAGACTACATGTAGCAACCTTTCTGTACTTCCTAGATAAGTGTTTACATTTACCTAGAGGACCGAAATACCAGTCACCAGGGCTGGACAAATCCCAGGCTCCTGGTAGCCAATGCTTCTTAAAAATTACAGTTGGCGCCTCATTTTTGGAGGTTCTTTAGCTGCTGTCAATGGAGCGAGCTCCTACAAAAGATCTGCTGACTCCTGAATTTCATATTTAAATTTGCCCTCCCCTGCCTGTCACAACACAATTTGAGTCTGACATGGAAGAAGCATGCAGATCAGGAGTGTTGACTTCTTGCCTGCTTGTTCCAGGTCAGTGACCTAGAAAGTACCTGGGAAAAAAGCACTTTCGGCAAAGTCAGCAAAAGCAAAAACACTTTCTAGCAGCACAGGTAGAGATATTTAGTATAATTCACCACTAGGTGGATTCATCTTGAATTGAAACTCCTGTAGAAACAGGTGTGTACTAGTATTGGAGAATGGAGTCTTTATTGGAGTTTATATAACCTGAAGCAAAATGAAAGGAAATTATAATCTGGATTGGGTCGCTTGTTTCAAAGTACCCAAGAGTAAAAGATAAAACCTGACTGACGGCTTTGACAAAGTGTTTTCATTATTATGTATTAAAAGACAAAATAGGTAAAAAAAAAAAAAAAAAAGGGTGGAGGTATTCATTCTTCTTGAAATAAAGCATGCTGTAGAATCAGAAACGGTGGAAGATATTTGAACAATGCTTACATTTTCCTGTAATATTTGAAAGCCACAGGACATCCATCAAAGTAGGTCTAAAGTAGAAAGGCGACTAGGCCTACCCTCCAAGTTACTCTCTACCTGTCAATCTTAAAAGGAGAACTATGAGGTGAGTGCTTTTCACTCATCCTCATAGTTCTAGCCGACCTGTGACAATGAGACTGTCACAGGTCGGCTCAGTAGAAGTGAGCGAACACATACCGGTGTTCGCTCACCTATCGATCCGGTCACGGCTCTCCGACAGGGGAGGGGCTGGATTCCCCCCTCCCCGCTCCGATCCGCTGGCTGGTGGAACGGACGGGGGAGGGGGCGGGTACAGCTGGCTCTGCCTTTAGCTAGGCAGAGCCAGCTAAGCCTAGGGTGACGGGAGGACGCTAGTTTGTGTCCTCCCGTTACCCTAAGGAGAACTATGGGGAAAAGCCCTAACCCCATAGTTCTCCTTTAATAAATGCCCTGCAATACTTACCTGTCAGCCAGAATGGTCTCCCGTCCAGGTGCATTCAGCCTGCTGTCCCTGCTTTTCCTGGGTCTGGAAATGAAAAGGAGTGGCTTCTGTGTCAGGCATATGCATTGAGCCTCAGGTTTTGACTCTGGGTTGTTTTTTGGGGGTTTTTAGGGATAAGACTGAAATTTTCTTTATACATAAAAGCAGCGGCAACAAAAAAAATTAAAGATTTACACCTCAAAACTAAAAACACAGCTACTAACAAGGTTTTATATTTTTACATGGCACAGCTATGGAAGATAAGTCAGGATCACACTACCATTTCTGTGTATTTTAAGCTCTTGAATAACATCCTCCACAAAATAGTCTAGCTGTCTAAAATGAGCTATGCCACTATCTTAAGGACATGATAATAAAGCAACAATTATCTCTGTCTCCAACCTTAAGAGGAACACTTTAAAATATGAAGTGTAATATGCTCAAAAAAAAGTAGGTCACTGGTCTTCCCCAGTGACAATCAAGAAAATGTAACACCAACATCTGCAAACAAGTGTACAAACAGTGAGGAAACAATTACCAAAATTTTGGATGTGTAAGCACAGTTGACTGAAATCCCTGTGATAAGGAGGTTCAGCACATTTTCAGTTAAGGACTCTGCATCAGGAATCTTTCTGTAATGTTTATCATTTAGGAAAGCTTGGACAACAGTCATCCTGTTCATGGTTAATGTTCCAGTTTTATCTGAACAGATTGCAGTGGCATTTCCCATGGTTTCACATGCATCCAGATGCCGAACCAAGTTATTATCTTTCATCATTTTCTAGGTTTACAAAAGGGAAAAGGTTAGTATGCTTGCAACAAACTTAAAAACTTTTACTGTTTTTTTTTTTATAGTAAAGCACGAGAATGAAAACACTTCTGTAGTAAAACATGAAAACACAAAAGGGATGTATTTATAAAATGTTTGCAGAGCCAAATTCTCTGCAAACATCTAAGCTTTAGAATTGTAGCACACCACCACCACTAGATGGGGATAATGAGCAAAATAAATTCCTATAGCCCTCAGCTCAATGTAGTGGCCATAACAAAAAAACAAAACACAAAGTTCGCAGAGCTGTTCGCTCTGTGAGCGTTTTAGAAATATAACCCTACGATAACATGAAATGACACCCAGCTACATGGCAAAACATATGGGGTACGTAAAACACTGGAGCTCCACTTAATACAGTCAATATAGCAAGACACAAATTAAAGGTTATTTTCCATCTTCCATTAAAGGGCACCCAGCTGCTAATTCTTGCACATGCACTGTAACATCTCAGAGGCAGTACTATGAAAAGCACTGTCTAAGGAAATGGTTGTTTAATGTACAGATCAGCAAGGCTCTTCCTTATAGCTATGAGCCATTTGTGTTAGAGGCAAACATGCTACTCTCCCCACCCTGCATGACTGATTGCTCTAGTTATGTCAAAATCACTTCTTTGGTGACAAAGGCAGATTCAGTAAGCTTAGAACTACTGTATATCCAAGTAAAAACAGTGAAGCGCCACGGACTTTCAGTTCTTAATAGGACTTGCATTTAGGCATACTGCAGGATGCTGCCCCAAAGAAGCCGGGAAAGCTGGAAATCTAGGAAATAAGCACAAGAGGGGCGCCTTTCCTGGTGCAGATCACTTTTATTTCAATAAACATAAATAAAAAACCAAATCATACTCGCAAACATGAGTGTCACAAAGTCATGAGGTGAGGACTGACAAGCAGTGAGATGTCCACTAGGTGATACCAGTATAGTGGCGACGTTAACGCGTTTCCGGGGCACGCCCCCTTCATCAGAACCTTCATCACCTAGTGGACATCTCACTGCTCGTCAGTCCTCACCTCATGACTTTGTGACACTCATGTTTGCGAGTATGATTTGGTTTTTTATTTATGTTTATTGAAATAAAAGTGATCTGCACCAGGAAAGGCGCCCCTCTTGTGCTTATTTACTGTATATCCAGTACACAGGACTTTGCAAAGAAAACAAGCACATATCTGTCATATCTCATCACGATTGTTATTTTTTTTATAAACAAACACATTTATGCGATACGAGTATAAAAACTTTATAGATCTTTCATAGCAAATGTTCATTTTCAGAAATCCTTTAACTCATGTTAGAATTGGAAGAGTGGTAAAGTGGACCTTTCACCAACACAAGGTCCACTTACGTGGCAGCACCCACTGCTATTAATATTAACCTTATACCCCAGCTTCTGGCAGGTTCGTCTAGGCCAGGCAAACTTGGCTCTCCAGCTGTGCTGAAACTACAAATCCCATAAGGCATTGCAAGCCACAGACATGACTCCCAGAGACAGAAGTATGATGGAATTTGTGGTTTCAGCACAGCAGGAGAGCCAAGGTTGCCTACCCCTGGTCTAGGCAAATGTGACATCACTGGGTCTTCTGGCAGGAACCTGGGAAAGTTTAGGAATTCTGCACAGTGCTAGGTTGTCTTCTCGTGAAAATTGAGACCATTTTCCAAGACCCACTGTTGGGTCCAGTGATGTCAGTGACAGAAAGCAGCAAAAACCGGAGGAGTAAGGCAAGTGTTTTTGCTCTTTCAATGTCTTTTTTTATTGTTTAAATCCAGTGCTTTGTAATCAGTGGGTGGCTGCCAAATAAACAGCTCTTAGTATTTTAGTGCAATGTCCGCTTTAAGAAGGAATCTTATAGAAACATATTTGCTATATCAACTTTATTTCAGCAATTTAAAATAAACATTAAAAGGGGAACTACGAGGTGAGTGCTTTTCACTCATCCTCATAGTTCTAGCCGACCTGTGACAATGAGACTGTCACAGGTCGGCTCAGTAGATCGGGAACCGGCGTTCGCTCACTTCTCGATCCTGTCATGGCTCTCTGCCATGACAGGGGAGGGGCTGGATTCCCCCCTCCCTGATCCTCCAGCGCTGACTGGCGGGACGGACACAGCTGGCTCTGCCTCTAGATAGGCAGAGCCAGCTGTCACTCACGCAGCTGGGCGGATCCCGGCATAATTGTCGGGATCCACTTCAGCTGCGGCGTCTCAGTATAGCGCTATACTGCGAGCTGTAGCTCGCGGTATACTGAGCTTAGGGTGACGGGAGGACGCTAGTTTGTGTCCTCTCGTTACCCGGAGAACTATGGGGAAAAGCCCTAACCCCATAGTTCTCCTTTAAAATGATTTGCAGATTTTCACCAAACAAATTGTCATGCATATCCATTTTGACTAGCCCAGATTACGCTTTACAGTTTATGGAAACACCTCTAAATATACCTTTTTTTTTTTACTGAACTTTCAAGATATTCCTTCCTATCCAAGAGATGCGAGTGAGAACAAATTTTTACAAAGCAAGGGAATTCCCCTCTTACATAGTTGTAACTTAAAGATTCCCCATTGCAATAGACATTTAAGATTTCAGTCCATAACTACTTAATCCAAAAGTAAAAAAAGAAAAAAATGTGGGCAATACATTTACCAGGTTTCTGGCTCTGTACACCTGCTATGGACATTATTAGGAGTTCTCGTCGGATTTATTGACAAGGTATGAGAACTATCTGGAATCTGTATATGATGCAGGATATTTGGATGTCAACCAATGAGATATATTCAGGAGCTTGAATGTCCCTGGCACTGAAGGAATTTATATATTTTTGGGTTATTTTTTGTTAGTTGATTTTATATGGTTTCAGATTATACTAAACCCTAGTTACATTAATCTGACGAAAGTGAGTCTTAAATAAAAGGTTTAATACTTACCTATCCCACCTGCCAGATGCCAAAGATTCTTCATGAAGCTTAGCTCTGCAGCACAGTGGAGACTGGTAGTGTGGGCGGTGGACAGGTACGTTTAAATCTTTTTTTTTTTTTTAGCTTTTTAAAATAACCAACTCATTTTAAACTTTTAAAAATTGTAATTGGTACAACAGAAAAAAACCACAGCAGAAATGTGCTGCCCTCAGCAGTTCTATTGGCAAGATAACTGTGTACATTTCTATCCTTTTCATTAGCCATTATGCTGCCACAGTATTGTTACTGTAAATCCTGCACTTTGCACAATGCACACCTTACTGGTTATCAGTGCCTGCAAGACACACTGAGGTGAGGAGGGAAATATTCCTTTTTCACTACTTCAGATACCAAAATCTACTGTATAATATTGTTTGCCCGAACCTCTTGCATGCAATAAAGATATTTGTGCATGCCCAGTGTTGGGGAGTTCAGCTATCTGATGATGGTCTCTGCTCAAAATTAGGACATGCATAGGGGTCTACTATAACAATCAAAGTCAAAATAATTAAAAGGTGATATTGCAGAACAAAAATAATTGTGTTTGCTTGTCACAAAATTCTGTTGATGGCTGGACTATTAACTATGCATAGATGGGCAGATATCTCATTGAAGATTAGTGAATTAGATATTTTCCAGCCTTGTTGTAACACAAACCCACAACTCTTATATTGCCATACACGGTTTTTAATTCTATGAGGAATGAGAACTGCCCACAGATTTAATACATTGCAACATTTTAAGTAAGCAATAAGCACTTTTGACACACACCCTTTATCTCCTGATTGTTTACTCCAACATGGCCCCCCATTACATTTAATGCAAGATGTCTCTGCTATGATTGTCTTTGAATTGATTGACATCATTGACAATACTGTAAATTGGCAGCAAAGGAAAACACAAGAACGTACCTTAACAGAATATGCCAGTGAAATGGTAACTGCGAGTGGAAGACCTTCTGGAACTGCTACTACCAAAACTGTGACTCCAATAATAAAGAACTTGACAAAATATTGGACATAAATGGGTGTACACTCTGCCAACCATGGACGTTGCTGAATCCAGAATGTATTGATCACAAAGTAAATAACAAGGATTATGACTGTAATTGCAGACATCACCAAGCCTATAGAAAAATTAAACACAAATAATGCCTTAAAACACTGAATACGAACTGAAACGCTTTTTAAAAAGACAAGTCATCATTTTACATTAAGGCTCATGCACACAAGTGTATGGATATATGGCAACTAGTATTCTTGAGTGCCATATTTCCGGTCATGTTCCTACATTTGTGCTTTATGCTGTACAAGTGTAAATATTGCACAAAGGTGCTTTATTGGTTGCTAGGATAGGCGGCTTGAGCCACCGGCATCCTAACAACAAAGAACACTGGGCTGCTCGAGCCACCTAGTGTTTGTCAATAGGGTGCGGGTGGCTCAGGTTGCCTACATCCTAGCAACAAAGGACAGACACATGTAAACATTACCACAAAGGTTTACATGCGTACAGAGTAAAATACGGTCCCATACGCAGGACCTCAGGTGCAGATTCTTTCAACTTAACAGATCTGAGAGCAGCACAAGTTCACTGATCTTTACGCACTGTGTGGATAGGCCCAAAGAAGACCACACACTTGCGTTCAGAATAAAAAAAAAAACAATTTGACACAGCGTTTTGTACAGCCCTGTGCATGACTCCTTACATAGCCAAAATCATAAATATTCAGCTTGGAAATTTACAATACCTGGCTGTTAGCACAAAAATACAGAAGCAAAGAATAAATACTTCAGAACTTCAATCAAACATATGAAGCAGTATAGGGCTGCAACCAATGGTTATTTTCATACTCTATTAGTTGGCAGATAATTTTTTCGATTAACCGGATAAAAAATAAAATAACATCCTTCATTTAAAAAAAACAAAAAACAAAAAAAACACAAATGCAGTGTTAAAGTTTACTTCATAGTAAAACTGCATGCACAATATTTTGCAATCACACTGCACTGGAACGCATGGCATTGCGGTACAATGTGTTCCAAATACAGGCGATCACACTGTGGGTGCGAGGCGGGTTTGGGGTGTCATTTAAATGAATGGCACTACAACGCACCTCTGGCAGCAGAATTTGTCAGGCTGAAACCAAAAATTTAATTTTGTCCCACCTTTTATATATTTTTTTTTTAATTGTATTGTAAGCACATGACACTTGAATAGCATTAGCCAGGGAATGACAGCTGCTAGTGACAAGATTTTGCAGACGGCATCTGAATGTAAATACAGCAGTGTGCTGGTGCAATAGCCAGCCTGCTATTTGCCATTTCAAACTGCAGTAGCCAATAGCAGGCTGGCTATTGCACCCACCCACTGCTTGCTGTGCCCTCCTCCCTGCATGGAGGAGAGAGCTAGGGGTTCCAACCAACTGATCAATAATGAGAATAGCTGACAACTATTCTTATTATCAATTAGTTTGTTGCAGCCCCAAAGTGGTATATACACTAGCGTTCAAAACCTAGATCTCCCAACTTACCTGCAGCAAAGCAACCACATACTATTAAACTTTCCTGCAGAGTGCTGGTTCTAGGTTTTACATTCCCCCTAATGCAAACACATCCAAACAGACTTTTCTGTCTATAAAACCATTTTCCACGGCTTGCGATTTCACCATTTCCATTTTATTTGCTGGTTTCAAATAGTTTTTGTTATTTTTTCTCTGAAACTCTGCTCAAATAATTCAGTAGAAGTCCTCACTGTTGCAGAAGACATTAGCATTTGGAGTTGTACCATTTATAGCAAGTATAGCTTTTGCAGTTGTAATTCTGGGGCTTTTGTTTCTTTTTCCATCTTTGTGAGATCCAGGTCACCTTTTCACCCCCTAGCATAATAGTTGACATTGTTTTATGAAAACTGCAGTTACTATGTTGCCTAGTTGCTAATAGTTTACTATTAGGACACTAGAGAAATGACTGCTGATCATATTGTTTATAGTCAAAATTGGGTAATAAATTATAAATCATAGTAACTTCCAGCACAAATAGCCATATGAACATTAGGCATGTATTGTCTAGATTTTAACAACTTCTTAAACACTTCCTGTCTAGGCCATTTTTCAAGTACTCAGCATTTTACACTTAACTTTATTGCTATCACATAGGGGGCTAAAAAGTCAAGGTTAAGGTCCAAGTGCCAGGTAGTAAACCTAGACTAGTTTGTCCAAGGGCAAATTTTGTTTCCCATTTTATACACCAGCAATCCAAGACAAAGCCTCAGATTGTATTCATTTATATAGAATTAAAACGTAATAAATATTTCCACCCACAACTTCCCTCAAAACTTGTAAAACAATTAACCACTTCCTGTCCAGAGCAATTTTTTAATTTCCATACAGGCATGATCAAATCTGAATTTTTGGCTAGAAAACGGCTTAAAACCCCTAAACAATTATAAATGTACATGGAAGAGTCCTCTGAGTATGATGCAGTGTAAACCCCCACCCCCTTTAAATAAGCTACATCAGCACCAGGAACACTAGGTTTAAATTAAAATCATTGACATAATTCAAAAGGTCAATTATTTAAGCATATAGGGCAGGGGTCTCAAACTCAATTCCCACGTGGGCCACTCGACAACATTTTTTCTCCCATGGGGGCCGCTCGCCAAATTTCAAACTTTAACCACTTTGAGACCAGGTGTTTAGACCCCGTTCCTGGCCAGGCCATTTTTCAGTATTCAGCGCTGCAGTACTTTGACTGACATTTATTCCGTCATGCAACGCTGTACTGAAATTAATTTTATACCATTTTTTGGGGACAGATAGAGCTTTCTTTTGGTGGTATTTAATCACCACTGGGGTTTTTATTTTTTACTATAATTAGGAAAAATTAAAGAAAATTTTGAAAAAAAAAAAAGTTTTTTTTACATTATGTTAGGAAACACTTATTATTACCCAGTTTTTTGGTAAAATATAAAAGTCAGGGTCACGTCGGATAAATAGACACCAAACACGTCAACCTTTAAAATTGCGCGCACCCGCGAAATCGCAGAAAACTACCATACCCAAAATTACCCTCACACCCACCCGTAAGTTAAATACACAGCCCCCTCTCAAGCTTACCTTGTTGCAGAGAGGAGGCTGTGAGCGGCGCCACGATCACCGATCCGTTTATCTAATGGCGATTAGTAATGTCTGCTGCAGACATAACTAATCTAATCAATCCTTTCGGCCTGCGTTTAGCAAAGACGCCGGCCGAAAGAATCAGAGTGCCGGCACAGAAGCAGCCATGCGGTCTGCATTCGACAGAGATGCAGACTGTGTAGCTGCTCCCGCAAGTCTGGTGCGGCGGTCCGTGACCGTGTACCAGACTTGTGAGCGGGCCGGTACTTTGAGACCACTGATAGAGTCATATGTCAAGCACTGAAAGCAAATATTTGGGTTTTTAAGAATAGCAAAATAATCTTGGCATTACATCTGCAATCACAAAGTAAACATGTACCGATTTACACAGAATTAGCATAGCATTTGCCTCAATCTTTCCGAGTCCAGTTGAATCCTACATAAGCTGAACAACAATATTATTATGTCTATGATACTATGAACATGCCTAAGACCTCGCTAAGTCCACAATAAAACATGCGTTAATAGGCCACAATCTACTTAAAATGATTCCTCACATGACTTCTGAGTGCTAACAGCTTAACAGAATCAATAGCTTTGTACTAATACTAAGAGGCAAATTTCATTTTGTGGTACAATTTAAACAAATTACATATTAAAGTAATAAACACATTTTAAGCAGTAAAAGAGCTTTAAAGTGGAACTCCGGGAAAACAAATCTCTCTTAAACACTTGGATCTCACATACCTTTCAGTCATTTTCCATTTATTGATTTCAGGTCTCAAGGTTAACATATAGGTTGGCTTATGTCACAAAGCACCTATTTCATGCTTACAAAAAGGTTACCACCGCCTGCTCCTATTTCTTAGGTGACTGGTCTCGTCACTATCCTCTAGGCAGATCAAAGTAGGAAATGCTACGTTAGTGCTTACACGGCCTCTCCCTGCCCAGCACTACCCTCCTTGTTTAGTAAGGCTTTCAGCTTATCTTCAGCCTCCTGCACCCCACTGCTTATTTGATTTAAGTGTATTGTGAATGAAAAGCAGTGCCAGCAGGAGTGCTGTACTTAGTGGTACATCAAACACAGCAAGACCACTTTGCTCGTGAAGAGAGCCCTTACCAATGTATTGGTGTGTAGATGGCTGCATGGAAAGGGACAGAGGAGCAGATATTTCTTACTGTTAGCACTGCAACATTGCCATTTATGATAAACTTCGAGAAGGTAGCACAAGGGGCTGGTGAGAGGGAAAGAGTTAGGGAATCTTGAACAGGAAGAATGTTGATGTCCTGAAGTTAAGGTATCTTAATGGGTAGGCGGTAAAAAAAACCTGTGCTGTGCTAACCGTGTGTCAGCATTGTTACAATGACAACTATTCACTCAAAGTAATGTCAGCAAGTGACAGCACAGCGAGATGGCAGAAGACAGGATGGAATGTATGGAATGTTTAGGAGCATGATGTTTCTCTCCTACTGCTCTGCTCGGAAATGTAAGTCCCTGTTCACACCTATGCATTTTGATGCTAGGGACACAAAACTCTCAACACAAGAAAGCCCAGTCATTTCACACCTGAACGTTTTGTCGCTGAAAAAAAAAAGTATACAAGCTTCTTATTGGCAGATGTACAGCTCATTTGGCCCCATAGACTTCAATGGAAAAATCTGGAAGCGACACACATTTTGCATATTTGTGTGTGTTTTGGGGCATTTTTTTTGCACGTTTGTCCACTGACCACAATGTCTCTCACTCTGTCAGCAAACATTTTCAAAAAGGCACAAAACCATGCTAAATGAAAATGTGCGCTAATGCGTGTGAAAATGCTGACGCCTAGGTGTGACTGCAGCCTCAGCTTCCTAAATTGATGAAGAATTAAGAAGGGCAGAAGGAGGGCTGGGGAGACGCCTTGCTGAGTAAGGCTGGGTATGACTGTATTAAGGAAGCTACTTAGAACACGCTGATAATCTCTCCCACCAGGCTACTACTGCAAGAATCCTGATAGAGACACCATGATGACATCACAGGGATTTAAAAAAATTGGAATATCTTCAAAGGGGAACAAAGTAAGCAGAGAATAATTTTGGATTCAGGACATGGTGTTGCAGGGGCGTGCTTATAAAAATGCCTGCCATTGATTGCAGTTAAAACAAGCCCCCTCTGACCTCTCTATCTGCTTTTTATTGTGAAGTTATTCATTCTCAAAGACCCTTAATAGTGAACGGAGAATTTGCTTGGGTTCGATTTGCAGGTGCATTCAGCGACCTCATCACAAAATCTGAAAATGTGAGCCCCATAGATGTTAATTGGAGGCATATCTTGAGAAATTAATTATCTCCATTTTTAAGGCTAACAGGCAAGGAATTTTCAAACAAATGCTGTAATTAGCTGTGTGTAGGTATGTGTGTGTATATACATATGAAAAATTTGAGGGGAGAAGCTTTTTTAATAAAGCTTAAAAGGGCATGTTGTAAATGATGAAGCTGATGTAAACATAGGCTTTCCGGATTATCTGCCACTGTCAGCTGGTGACAGATCAACAAGAAGCCCCTTCCCTGCATTAAGGGTTCAAACACACAGATTTTTTTTCTTTTTAATTGCAGAATGTTTTTGTCCTCTCACAAGAGAAGTCAGAGTGAACAAGACTTTATCTTGAGATTTGTGAAAGAATAATACAATACAACTTTCCACTGGAAGCACTAAGGATCCATATGCAGTCTTAAATAACAATCGTCTAGCTGTGGTGACCCGTTTAAAAATGTAGGAATAATTACTAGGTCTGGATTAAAAACTATGGTTTTTAACAGTGGAGAGGTGAAGGCAATTGGAACAATATTCAAAGTTTCAAGAGGAAACCAATAATTTACCTAGGCCAAGCAATTATTACTTTAATGAATCTCCTAATAATGATACAATAACGAATTAGTTTGTTTTAGTCCTTCAGCATTTCTTCCTACTTTGCAGAAAGGTCTCTATACCACAGTTCAAAGAAACCTGATCATTTTAGGACAACCTTTTCAGATTCCATGTTAATAGACTTAACTTGTAATGTGGATACAGAAGCAGACCTTGTGATAACAGATCATGTCTCTACAGTAAAATGGTAACCGAGTTGACACGATTAGCAAGTCCAGAACTTCTGGGCCAGTGTAGAGTGTTATTGCTATCTGGCCAATTCTAATTTTTTAAATTACTGTTACATGGGCAGCGGCAAGAAGAAAGTAGTCGAGTGTTAAGTTCCAAGCCCAATTCATAACAGACAAAAAGAGGATTGGTCTTACCAATTAAATTTTCTTGGAATACAAGCATTCAAAAACATAGGGTTAGGCTACCCCCTTCAGGTGATAGACTGGCAGAGCAAAAGCTGTTAGCCCTCCCACACCAATCCTCAATTTTGTAAGCAAGCAATAGTAGGAACAGATCATAAACCGGGGCGGGACCTGTGTCCTGTCCAGGTAAAGAGACCAACCCCGGAGTCCACACAATGTAACTAATCACTTGTAAACAAGATTTCAACACTGTCTTAAAGGGTTAAAGATCTGAGGCTTGGATTCTGCATTGCTTGTTAATGAGAAGAAAAATGTCCCCACTTTATCCCTCTCCACTTCAAATTC